GGGGCGCGACCACCCTGCACCACCGCCAGGTGTGGTGCGAATTAAGTTTAATTTTAGAGATTAATATGTTTATAGATTTTTTTATAGGTTTAGAGATTAATATTTTTTGCTTTTTGTTTGTGAAACAAGGTCAGAGGAAGCTGATTCTGGTTCGGTGGATTGGACCCGGTGTTACACCATACTCTGTGACCTGCAACAGTGCAACACTGCCCCCTACGGTCATACGGTGGTCACATAATATGACGTCACTACGGATACTCGACATTACATTTTTAACCTCGATAGATGTTGATATAGGAATGATTATTTTGATGCTTTTATGTCAATTTATACTTATACTCACTTTATATGCAGCTTATCTGTCCAAAGTCAGGCCTGTGCTGCAGATGTGTTTTGGAGTAATTAAAGTCCTCCGGGGGATGCTCTAACCGTGGGATCTGGCCCATCTTATGGTTACAGTGACCCAGAGTTTGATGTAGACAGGTCTTTCATCCACCCACGACTTTGGGTTTGAAAGACATGTTTTTATGAGCCATCGCTCTGTTGTACAGACTGCTTTGATGATGGAAAACATGTTTTAATGAGATCTGTCCTCCTGCCAATCATCAAACTTGTTTTTCACTGCTCTCACGCGATCTGGTCAGGGAGGGGTATATAGGAGATGTGACAGGCAAGGGAAGTCAGAAGTCTTGCTGAGGACCAGCGCGCAGTGCCCAGCTCAGTTTTGATGCGATTTCCTGTCATTGGGTCGAAGGCTTCCCGACCAAAGTGTCACGGTGAGAGGCTTTCATATCAATTTGTGTGTTAAGAGTGTACGAGTGTACATGTTTTTTGCTTGGCTGTTTTTCTGTGGCAGATTAATAAACGACACTATTATTTCTAGCAGTAACAGTCTCCTTTGTTTCATTTTCCTCTCATGTGAATATCCGGTGCCGACCGTTCACGACCCCTGTTAAAGAAATTTCATAAAACAGATGTCCTAGCAATCGATGTGTAGATTACTCAAGTACTCTGTTAATGCCCTAGTCTGTAACCATTAAGGCCACTGTCTGTAAACATTAAGACAACTGTCTGTAACCATTAAGACCACTGTCTGTAACCATTAAGACAACTGTCTGTAAACATTAAGACCACTGTCTGTAACCCTTAAGACAACTGTCTGTAACCATTAAGACCACTGTCTGTAACCCTTAAGACAACTGTCTGTAACCATTAAGACCACTGTCTGTAACCATTAAGACCACTGTCTGTAACCATTAAGACCACTGTCTGTAACCTAGGGCTGTTGTAGATTAATATTTTAGTAATCGGGTAAGCTATAGATTATTCTGACAATTAATCAAGTAATCGAAAACAAAATTTGTCAGGTTCTGCAGTAACTACTGTACTAATTTTATGAGTGATACAAATACACAATAAAAGAACATTAAATAAACAACCCATTTAATTCCTCTTTTTAAAATATTTTATTGCTTAAGTTGAATTATATTTAATCACCACATAAAAATCTAAATGCTGTAAAATAATTTTTATGGATTGGAAAACTGAATGGAATTTACAAAGTAGGATATGGAAGGAAGGACATCATTTGGATTGAAGGTGGAGATGATCTTCTGGAAGCCTTCATCTTCCACCACGGACAGCGGCTGCATGTCTGTGATGATCATATTTAAAATGCTGTTTGTGAACTCAGCTGCTGCACAACAAACATCCTGGAGCCCTTTGTACGAAGCTGTCCAACTTATGACTCTGCCATTTACTGAAAAGAAGAAGAATAAAATTATTATTTGTTTGTTTGTTATGCCTTAATACATTTTCAAGTGTACTTCATTGGATATTATAAAATTATTATTTAAAACTATTAAAATTATAATTATTATTATTAAAATTATTGTTAAGTAAGCTACACTTTCTGATGACCTGCTGCAATCAAAGTAACATTAGTATGTCAGTTGTATTTGATTTATGCATTTTAAGCTTATATTTATGTCTGAGGTTTGAGGATGCTTTAATTAAAACCCTCTGTCATTGAATTATTTTTAACCATCACAGAAAAATCTAAATGCTGTAAATAATTAAGACAGATAGATAATGTAAAGTTTGAGTTCTGCAGACTGTATTATTATTTAGTATTTGATTGCTTAGCTATAAACAAATATGACAGTAGTGATAAATGCAGATTAATCCCAGTTTTTAGTCATAAACAGCAGCAGCAAGAAGAAAAACAATCCTACTAACTCATGTAAATACGTTTACACTTGAAATATTCACCCTAAATATCTAATTTAGGTCAGGATGGAAGTACAGCAATAAATAAATGTGTCAGTCTGTTGCTGCTTTTATCGTTAACAAACTTGCATCAAGTCCTGCAGAGTTTTTGTTCCTCACACAACGTACAGACCCTGCCAGGTAGCCACTATGATTAGTCAGTAGATTTAACGTTAGCAAAAAATATGCCTCGTTTTACATTTATAACATGACAGATTATCACATTTAGGTTCACGTACTTTGCAAGGAGAACATGATACCTGTTAAAGCTGCGGACGGTGGACGAGTTTGATGCTGCAGCGGGTGTTTCTC